AACTCTCCAAGTTCGTCTTAATATTTTTCTTTTGAAATAAATGAGGTAATGTTATAGACCACGGCATAGAAAGATGGACCAAATTGTTCGATAAACCTGAGAGTCAGTAAAATCACAACGAAAATCATTGAAGAAAAAAACTCTCCCACACAAAGTCACAGGCACAAACTGAGAGAGAGAGAGAGAGAGATGTAAACTAGTAGGAAGGACAACAGAACTTAAAAGCATTCTAATGCATCTTACCACCATTCACACTGAGGAAATCATCCTCACAGTCGGATTCTAAACAAGGTTGAGAATCGAAAAAGGTCTCCTCTTTACTACCTGCAAATAAAACTACAAACATATCAGATTTATAATTAGGCACCAGAAAGATACAAAAAGTAGCAGAAATTCAACTGGACTTAGAACAATGATGGATCCACCTCCACTGGCACAAACTCTGGAATCATGACTAACTTTATAATTTTGTCAAATCCCAAACCTGAAAACTCACTCCAGAGGAACAGGCACAGCCCCCCTCCCTCCTCCCCTGTTGATGTTTAGAAGTTTAATATCTGAGGGGAAATATTATGATGGCTAAATTACACCTTTGTAGACTGTCCTAAATGAAGGGACATCCCTTCACTGGTTAGGTTGGTGGGAGCATGGATTCACTGGGCATTGCTTGGGCTAAGTCAAGCTTGGACCGAATTACGTAAAAACTTACTGCCTAGAAAAATGTCTCACAAGAGTATATGGTGAGTAAATCTCATGAAGAGATGGTGAACTTAGCAACTAAGAAAAAGGCGAAAGAACAACTACACAAAGAAATTCAAGAATTGATGGATCGAGTCAAAGAGCTAGATAAGGGGATTCAACGCTAGAGACTAAGACCAAACTGAAGAACGATACCCCCTACCAATTTTTTTTGGCTAAAAGTAATAAAGAAAATCTCAATTTTACAATTTTGCGCAAGTCTTTTAACACCTTATTTAGTTAGAATGTCCACAATAGTTACCCAATTTTCTTAACTCACATAAAAATAGCTAAAAATAAACCAAAAATTAATTACAATATTTTCTATTTTCAATTGATATTGTCAAAAACATATTGATTTGTATTTATTTTCTTTACAGGTTTTTTATTTATTTTCTTAATTTATTATATTTGTGAATTATAAACATGATTCTTTTAGTTTTTTTTTTTTGGAATTTCATTTTTCTTTCACTTGTATTTTCAAATTTAGGTGATGAGATACTAATTTTTTTTTCATTCTTTGTATAATATTCTCATCTTTTTATTAATTTTTATTTTTTAAAATAAGTCAAACACATTTATGTTAGGGGACCTAGGTAAAATTTGATCTCATAATAATACTCTTTCAGTACATCATCACTTTTATTCTGATATCTGATGGCATGGGTGGTATATGAACTAGAAAGGATTGAATGATACTTCTAGAAAAGCAAAAGTGTGTTTCTGTGTTTAGAGACCTAATAACTACGAGTGTCACCATAACCTACCCCTAAAATGCAATAAATTCTTGAAGCCTAAATAGCTAAGATTGCTTAATAGTTTGCATTTTTAATAGGGTTATCGGTTTTTCGTCTCTCTCCCTTTCATTGTATTTACAGATAACTCTAGAATAGTTGTGATTGTCAAGTTCAACAATGTGGTCCCTGCATATTCCAGCATAGCAAATATAATATGATCCTCAAGGGCTGTTACCATATACCCCAGCATGGACTGTCCACAATTCAGAGATAAGCACTGGTCCCTCAGAGGGACATAATTGCAGAAGGTTTGGACTTTACTCGCAAAATAATTAATTATATTAAGCAAAGAAAGACAGTGGTAGGGGGAATTGGTTTTCATCCAATCTATCTCCCCTGGGCAGATAAAGATACAATATCATACTAAAATTTAGGCACAGCTTTCATATGACATCTAATTCACCTCTGAAAGTCTTCTTTTTTTTATTTTTTTTGGCCAAGTTTGCCAAACCCCATCTGGGGAAGCCATAAGCCACAATTTAAGAAAATGACACGAAAGCTACTTTTGCTTTTTTACCTTTATAATTAAAGAAGGAGACCAAGATTTAATCTACAATTCATTTCATCAAAGGCAAACTCAGGAATGTGATTATGGAAACATACATCAATCTCCCTTGGGCACTCAGACTCCTGGCGGGTATCCAACTCATACACTCGCTGTTGGAGCTTACTATTATGTTTTTCAATTATACAACAGCATGGAAACAAACATCAACCTTATCCCATCCTCTAATGGGTGGGGGACTAGGGGAGTATCCAGCTCCTTAACTGGGTATTTGAGCTCACTATTGATAAGTTCTTCAAATCTATAGCCAAAATCGCCAACAATACTGTATGTTTTATTCTTTGCGTGTATTTTTTAATGACAAGAAATAATGACACTCATCTTTAGCAACATATCATAATTTTAGGTCCACAACAGCTGTTAGGTTCTGAGCTATGTGTTTAGATGGTCCCATAAATAAATAATTTCCATATAGCAGAAATTGTTTGTTTGTTAGTTTTACAAGTCCTTCACTAGTCAATTTTAAAAGGGACTCAAAAAGAACGTGAAAACAAGTTTTCATACACGGGAAAACTTAAAAAGGATTCAAACTGTAATTTTCCAATTCACAACCTGTATCTTATGCTAATCTGAAAAGTTCAGATTTCCATCTCAACCATGCCCATCCCTGACATACTTAACAGTAATTAATCAAGACTCCTGACGGATCAATCATCTGACATGAGCCTAAACAATAACATAGACATTTATTGTTTCAGTATCTGAACTATTCCAGAAGTTGAAAATTTTCGGGGCATTAGAGACATATGTCTACCATCAAGCCGCTTTCACAATGATGCTAGAGATTCATGGCAAGTTTTTGTAACAGTACCAATAGTGAAAACAACAGAATAACAAAAATCACATATAAAGATCAAAATCCCAATCCAAGGGGGATATGAGGAGTCAATCACTATAAACCAAGTGAATCGAATTCATCAAGCATATCATCAAGCAACATGAACAACTTAAAAAACACACAGCCATTAGCTTATGCACAAACAAAGACAATTAAAATAAATTAATCAATGCAACTCAAAAGATAAAATATATATGTAACCCATTTGGAATTTAGGACTAAAAACTCAAACAGATAAACCAATGAATCGAAGTATCAAATCCAATATATCTCTGGCAGGCAGATTGAAAGAATAGAATCATACCAAATTCGCGAATATTTGTCATTAAGCGTGGCGGCGACCACTGAGATTTGAGAGCAACCTCGGCGATCCGATGGTTGTCGCCAGCGACCACCGGTTTGTCTGGTGATGGAATCACAAACTTGTCAGTCTTAGACCCAAAAGACAAACGGAGCTTCATGGCTGATTCTGAGTCTCTGTGAACTGAAACACAAGAACCCATTTCTTAATTCTCACCCCTTATCACCCACAAAAACCAGGAATCTCTTTGTCTTCCACAAGGCTTCTCTTGTAGAGAGAGTAAAATAGTAGAAGAAGAAGAAGAGAGAGGAGGAGGAGGAGGAGGGTCTGTTTCTTGGCGTTTTGCTCAAGGAGTGGAAAATTCTGACTCAATCCAACGCAAAGCAAAGCAAATCTAAGAGATTGGACCTTGAAAGCTCATTATAGTTGGGTTTGTTACTCTGTTTTGTTTTGTCTTGTCTTGCAGTAGCAAAGTTTTTCTGAATGTGAAAAGGAACGAACGGAAAAGCTGTCTTTAAAAAGGGCTCGTTTCGTTCACCTTCTCGGGGTTTTGTTTGGTTGCCTGGAAAGTTAATTTACCGAGTGATCCAAAATTTCGTAGGTGAATAACCTTGTTTGGTTGTAAGCCTGTGATGTTCACGTGGGTCGCAAGGTCCACATCTTGTATTCTGGCCGGACAATTACACTTTGGCCCACTTAATTCGGATTCAATTTTATTTTGTCTCTTAAATTATTAAATTTTTTCACATTTTCCCCTCAGCTATATGAATGATTTCACACTACCCCCAACCGCAAACGTCCATAATCTTTTGGACAGAATTTGTCGCAAAGTAAACAAAATATATAGTTCGGAGGTTAAATGAAATACCTTTTGGTCAAATATATAGTAAGTGTTAATAATTAGGAAATCATAAAATTAATAACATAGTTGAAAAATATAATAATTGAAGGATAATATAAAAAAAAAGATAATAACTAAGGGATCAAAATAAATTTTTTCCCGAAATAGTATAACTTATCATTCACCATGTATTGTATGAAAGTGAGTCTCTCACTTGTTAATGGTGAATAATATATTTAAAAGAGAATTGAAGATAGAATATAGTCGGAGGAAGCAGACGTGAGGTTAAATGGAGTTGGCCAGAAATTGACAGGAACCCACTGCTTAGTTAACTTTCTAACATCTGATGAAGAGGCTTGTTGAATCCCAACTACTTTAGATATAAATTTCTTAACACATTAAACATCATTCATTATATGTGGGGTCCCCTAAATTATTTACCTTCCCTCTTTAATGTGATGTTGAAGGAGAACAAGCTCGGATTTGACAAGGATTCTGATCTCATCCATATCCGGTGTAGTGTTTTTAATTATTAATCCAAATTTTTTCTTCATCGGGATATTGGAGATTACGTTATTAATTAGTTACGTACAGCCTCGCTAACTCTGAAAAAAAGACAAAAAAAAAAAAAAAGAATCAACGACAGAAAAGAAATATATTCCCATTAAAGTCACCCTTGTGGATGGCTCCATACATGATAGACAGTATCATGAGCTCAAATCCTGAGTTGAGTAACTCAAGAACTCAATCTCATGCATTCTAAGATTATGCCATTTTTACATATACACTTTTACAACTACTTATTAGAGTCAACTTTATTGATCACCAACATTTCACTAAAAACTGTTTGCATGGTAAAGATGCGTACATTTAATTCTCGTACACCGAGTACGCCTTTTTTTTTTTTTTTGTTTATTTCACTAAAAGCCGCTGATCGGACGCAACCTTGGGAGGCAAGACTGCATGAACTTCACTGGTTTCTTCTTTTGTTTGAAATACCCATTAGTAGTTCTTTCACTAAGACAAACAGAGTAAGCTCCAGAGACAAAAGGTGATCCACTGGCGAATTTGGGAGGCAGCTGGTCAATTGTAGTTGTTGCCTTACCTTCCATTTCTCCGTTTGCATCATTTTCAGTTTCAGGAATATTTTGCCCGTAAACAACACGATCACCTCGTAGGATATCATCAAAGAGTTCAGCTAGGTTCTTTATCTTTTCTGTTGGAAATGGTTCAGGTTTGGAACCATTGACATTTTCGTCAAGAAGGGCTCCATTGACTCGTTCTGGAGTTTCCATGGAGAAGCTCTCATGGCCTGGAGTATTGCCACAAGATGGCGTAAAATCTGCATCAAACGTACCAGGGAGCAAATTTATACAGTGACAGCAAAGAAGTAAAAGAAAATAAACAAGAAACATTTTGCATTACACTTCCTTTTACATCCCTCATTGTTCTTATTCCACATGGGGCAACATTTTTGCTAAAAGCACTACGACCACAGGATGAAACTTCACTGGCAGGTGATCTACCATTTATCACAGTATTTTTCCAACACTCCAACTCTCCAAGTTCCAAATCTTACAATTTCTTATTTTGAAACAAATGTGGTATTTTTCAGACTACAGCATAGTGAGATGGACTTAATTGTTTAAAAAATCTGGCAGGCAGTCCATCACAGGGTCCATCATTGAAGAAAAAAAATCTCTCATGTCCTCTCACACACAAACTAGAGAGAGAGAGAGAGAGAGAGAGAGAGAGAGAGAGATGTAAAATTGTAGGGCAAAAGTTTTTAAGTATCCCAATGTGTCTTACCGCCTTTAACACTGAAGAATTCATCTTCACAGTCAGACTCCATCAACACTGAAGAATCAAAAAACTTCTCTTTACGACCTACAAATAAAACAGTCAATATAATCGGATTTAGGCATCAGAAAGATGAAAAAGTAGTTTGACAACTATGCTACTGGACTTAGAAGGATGATGGCTCCAACTCCACTGGCACAAGCTCTGCAATCATCACGAATGCCTGAAACATGTCAGATCCCAATCCTGAAAACTCACTCTGGAGGAAACAGGCACATGACACATGGAAGCAGTGTCTCGCCGGAGTCACCCAAACCCATCTCCTCCCTCCTTCCCCATCCAGTTTACACCAAGATAAAATCCACATAATATTACGTAAACTTGGACAAATTTGTTAATGTGCATATGTTTTTGTCCTATCTAAGCTTGTGATTTAGTTAATTCCCCAAGCACACAAGGAGATAGCCAAATATCCAAGAGGATAATATTCTTAATAATATTTTTTATTAAAATAATATTCCTATTTCCTAAGTTACTTCTTCCTAGTGTAAGACAACGTATTATACGCCACTCAAAGCATCAGCAACCATGTAACAAAGGAACACAACAAGACAGTTCCATGAAAAACTAAATGGTAAATTTCAATGCAGAGATAATCACTGGCCCCCAGAGGGGCATAATTTCTGAAGGATTGGACTTCACTTGTAAATTAGATACTTATATTAAATAAACAAAGGGAGTCGTTAGGGAAGTTGGCTTCTATCTGCTCTATACCACTTACATAGATCAAAAAACATGATATAGTCCAAAATATTGGCAAAGCATTCATCTGAGCAATTCACATCCAAATGTTTTTTCGCAGGTGAAGTTTTCAAAATCCATCTGGGGAAGCCATAAGTCAGTTTTTCACCACCCTTACTCCCACTTCAGAAGACCAAACAAAAACTACTTTTTTTTCAGCTGTGTGCTTATGGAAACAAACATCAACTTTCCCCAGTCCCTCAGTGGGCTGGGGGGGACTGGGGGAGTATTCAGCTCATACACACTGGCTGTTTGAGTTCACCATTCTAGTTTTCAATTTCCTAGCAGCATGGAACCAGACATCAACCTCCTCCCATCCTCCGATAAGGTGAGGGAAAGGGGAGTATCCAGCTTGTAAACGGTGTGTTTGAGCTCACAATTGACAAGTCCGACAAATTTACAGCAAATATCAATGGCAGTTAGTTTCCGGTCCATCTGTTTAGATGGTCCCATAAATAAAGAACTTCCATATAGCATAACTTGTTTGACTGTCAATTTTAAAAGTCATTCACTAGTCAACTTTAAAATATAATCAGCTGAAAACTAAAATTTTCATACAGAAAACTAAAAAGCGACCGAAAGCAATGAAAAAAGGAACAAGATACCAAAAATTACAAGGATAAAAATCCCAATCCATGGGGGAAATGAGGAGCAAATAACTATAAAACCAAATAAATCGAATTCATGAAGAATACCAACAAGCAACATCAATCACCTAAAAAACACACCTATTACATTATGCACATACAAAGACAGTCAAAATAAAACTAGACAAAGAGAAATTGAAATATATATATATATTTAGAGTAGCGCGATCATAGAAACTATGCACCGTAGTCTCTAGTAGATACCTTTTACGTATACGATCACGATCTAATGGTCACCAAATAAAGATACTTAAAATTAATTGTCAATACCTACCTAATTTAGTTCTTAACTAAATAGGAAAGGTCTATATAACTTATTAATTGCTTTCTAGTCCTATAAGGAAAACTCTTAAGGTTAATAAAAAAAATTCTTTTTTTATTAACTAGTATTGAATGAATCGAACCTAATGACCCAAATTCTTTTTTCAATTTGATCATATAAAAATTCCACTTGATTTTACTTTTTCAAATGTTTTTTTTTTGTATTTAATTTGCAGCTGGAACAAATAAATTTCTATTGATGACATAGGCGGTAATAAAAGAATGATGGCAATGGAGATGAGGTTTCACAATATTTTTCTTATGTTGGGTTTAAAAATAAAAGAATGATGACAATGATTTCTAAAATCTAATAAGCATTCCTAATTTGGTTGATTAGAAAGCTAAGAGAGAAAAATATTAACGAATCTTCCTCAATAATTGTAAAATTGTGGTATGAAGAGGACAAACTAGTATGATAATGACCCATAAAAAAAAAGGACAAACTGATGATAATTTGATCCAAAAAATTTGAAAGACCTACCCAACAATGGTGTACCTCAATTAAACCCATATAGTGGGTCAACCCATCGAACATATGTCAAAATGTCAAAATATTTACTTATATTGAATTTCAAAAAATTAAATAAAGCTTTCCTTATAGGACTAGATTACCGTTAATAAGTCATAGACATTTCCTATTTAGTTAAAAATTAAATTAGATAGGTCTTGATAATTAATTTTAAACATCTTTATTTGATGACCATTCGATCATGATCTAACGGTATACGTAAAAGATACTACTAGAGACTATAATGCAGAGCTTCTATCATCGTATTACTCTCTATACATATAACCCATTTGGAAGCTTGCTACTGGTTTTAGATAGGCATTTTATTTTCTTTTTAAATGTAAGTTGCATACATTTTTTGCTTTAATAGTTTCAATTTTTTGAAATGATGATGTAACTTAGATTGTGTAGGTCAATTAAAAGAGCCTCACAAACGTGTTCATAGGGGCGAGTAGGATTGGGCTTAGATGGAAGAAATTCGAATTAATCACCAAAATACAACATTTTTTAAACATAATTATCAAAATACGGCACTTTTGAACTTATTTATCAAACTACGACATTTTTTAAAAGCGGATTCAACAATTCTGATTTTATTAAAAAGCGGATTCAATAACTCCGCTTTTTGATCCCTTTTTTTAAAAAAAAATAAAATTGGACAGTCATGAAAGCGTTTCTATGCTTTTTTCTGAAAGTGTGTTTATTAAACACGCTTTTCACACAAAGTTGGACTGTTAAAATCACTACAGGTCTTTCACAGTTATTTCTACTTGTGCTTCTTCCTCTGTACTTTGTTCTTCTCTCTTTTCAGTTCTTGAAGATGCCTAGGGCCAACTCGAGACCCTATGAGCGTATTAGAAGAGCTTGGCACAGTGATAGACACCAAAGAACATCAAAAGCCATCTCTTTCAGCAAAACCCATTTCTAATGGTGTTTTGATGTATCTTGAAGATGACTTCTTGTTCTCTCAATACCCATTAGAAATTAAAACGGTTTTTTAAAATTTTTTCTACGTGAATACCCATTTGTAAGTGGACACATTTTTTGTGTTCCTCAATCTTCCCTTCGTCTTTGTCTAACTTACCTTCTATTTTTTTCGTCTTGAAAACCCAGAATTATTCAGGACTCAAAGATCACCCAGGTTCATCCGCAAATACAAATTTTAGTGCTTCAATTAAGCGATGTAAACCCAGAGATCCCTTCGCAACATGGGAATTGTCATGGCCAGAGAAGCTTACTGTCGGTACTGTTCACAGAGAGAAGGCGTACAAAGAGAAGAAGAAAAAGTGCAGGGCAACACCTTTTTTCTGTTAGTGAATTGTATATAAACCGTGTTAGTGAATTGTATATAAACCGTGATTGATAAATCCACTTTTTACAAAAAAAAAAAAAGTTTTTCTCCTCCCCAACTTTTATATTAAAAGTGGAGTTGTGAATTCGCTTTCTAATAAAAGCGGATCCATTCAAAAAGTACCTAAATAAATTTAAAAATATCATATTTTGGTAATTATATTTAAAAAATACTATATTTTAGTGATTAATTCGAAGAAATTCGGACTGTCTAGTAATAGAGGAGGCAAAGGGTGGGTGGCGAAGATAAATGCACTCTGACAAGATTGTAATGAATGTCCCGCACTGGGTATGCATTTATAACACAGTATTTAAGCAGATCGGACTGCCCAGGGGCTGCCTGCCACTACCCAGCTCTAACACCTGCGCCAACTTACAATTGTCTCGATCGGCGGCGATATTAGTAGCCGCTCAGCCGGGTGTCCCAAAACTACGTCCTCTAAGGATAATTTTTTATTATTTTGATTAATAAAATTGTACCCTCGAGGTTGTACCCCCAAAAAAAAATAGCTAGAACCAAAAACACTAACAGATAAAACCAATAAACCAAAGAATCAAAATCACTATTAAATATTCATCTCTGGTAGATTGAAAGAATAGGAGCATACCAAAGTCACCAAAATTTGTCACTGAGCGTGGCGGTGACCACTGAGATTGTAGACCAAACTCAGTAGCGATCGGAGGGTCGGCATTGATCAGGGGTTTGTCTGGTGATGGAATCACAAGCTCGTCAGTCTTATACTCAAATGACAAACCGAGCTTCATGGCTGATTCTGGGTCTTTGTGAACTGAAACACAAGAACCCATTTATTAACACTCACTCCTTATCACCACAAAACCAGGAATCTCTTTTGTACTCCACAAAACTTCACTTGTAGAGAGAGAGAGAGAGAGAGAGTGGAACTGTGAGAAGAAGAAGAAAAGAGGAATAGGGTCTGTTCTTGGGGTTAGGCTTAAAGGAGTGGAGAATTCTTACTCCATATATAGTAACAAAGCAAATCTGAGAGCGAAAGGAGATTGCGCCTTGAACGCCTACTCCAGAAAGAGTGGGCCCTAGAAAATGATCCATTGAAGTACAGTTTTTACTAGGAGAGTTTGCTGACTGCGAAATGGAGCAAACGAAAAGCTGTCTTAAAGGGGCTTGGTTCCGTTTTTATCTGCTATGTATCGGGACTTTGGCAGGCTGTTCAGCTTCTGTTTGGTTGCCTAGAAACTTAATTTACTCTAAAGGCAAATTTCTCTTGTAGATAACTTTCTGACGGAAAGTTTTGTATGTGAATAACCATGTTCCTTGTTTGGCTGTATGCTGGCATGGCTTCTCTAATGCCCTGAATTTTTTATTGATTACGTTAATTTTTTATTTTTTTTTTAAAAAAATTGCTCTTCCTGAGGTCATTGGACCTCACTTTATGATCCACCTAACAAAAAAAAAGGAGAGTGTTTTGTGACTTTTTTTTATTAAATATTATAAATTTAAATTTATTTATTAAACTATCATTTTTTGGATGAAAGAGTGAAAAAAAACTAAACTATTACTTTTTTAACATGCTCTTAAAGTTTTTTTAATTTTTAAAGCGTGTTTTAGAAACACACTTATAGTGTAAAATCATGTAATAGAAATACATTTTCATAAAGCAAATTGTTGCAATGCCAGGCGAAAATGGAAAGAGATCAGCTCTATACTAAAGGCCTCACTTGGACCCTTTTTCAACACACCAGTCAATTTCTGAAATGTGGTTGGGAGGCTCCAATCCATGAAGTTAGCCAGAAATTTGACAGTAACCACTCTTAACTAACTTTCTAATCTTGGATGAAGATTATAGCCGTTATCATAAACTACTTAGATACAAATATCTAAAGCATGTTGGTCCCATGCATAAATCTCCTTCTACATTGACATGGAAGGAGAAGAGTCTCCCATGCATCCATCTCCAACCTGGTAAATTTAATTATTAACCAAAAGAATTAGGAATGATAATTTTTAATACGACCCATTAATCCTATAAAAAATCGATATAAAGTAAATAGATATGAGTTTAGTTTTAATAATTTCATGTGAATATGACTAAACACATTATTAATCCGTTAAACAAAATTTATATATGATACAAATTCACCGTTCTGGCACAGCGGATCATGTGAAACAGGATAGAATTTGGTGCAAACACATTTGGATTGAGAATACTTGGATAAGTTGTGAATGCATTATTAAAGAATTCTCTGTAGAGAACAAAATAGGTAGGCTGTAGCTTTTACGTGGTAGGCCACCAAACACTAAAAACTTCCAATATCTCTCCATCTTGCGGTTAGAGTCTCTTAATCACTTAGTTTCGTATTTGATTACCCATTTGGTTATAAAGAATAATTGATTGACATCATTGTTAGGTGCACTGGTTCTCTCCCTCATGTATTTCAAATGAGAAAATAAAAAACAATATGCTAATTTGTAATTTAATAATATATATATATATATATAAAACACGCATAGAGAGATGAAGATAAACCCACAAAGTAGAAACCCAAAAAAGGCAGTCATAAGTAGGCCTGATAATTCTAGACACGACTCATAAAATCGATACGAACTCAACACAGATTTAGCGGTTTTTGGTGCAGTCTTAACGGATTTGGGTGATTAATAGATTCACTAGACAGACCCGTAAAATAAACGAATCGGTTTCATGTTTAAGTCATAAACTCGTTTCAACCCATTTAACTCGTTAACAATGGTACTATAATTTTTTTTTAAAAAAGTTAGGTCTCTTAGCTTCTGCCTCATCTCACACCTATCATCTTTCAAATTTAATTAAATTTAATAATCATTTAATGTTTATTTTTTTTGTTGAACTATAATTTATTGTTATAGTAAACAGGTCAAACATATGTAATGCGTGGTGAATTGATGATTTTTCGCGTAAACTCGAAATACTCTAACTTATTCTCTTATATAGCAGGTGATACGCGTGTTGTATCTTAAGAACTATTGACCTAAATCGTAGTCGATAAATTTTGAAAAAATTAAGGGTGATCAACTAGGTTAGACCTGTTATTCACATAAATATAAGTACTCTTAATAGAGCATAGTGGAGTAATAGGATTCATGTGGCCGATGCATTGAATAGAGTTGTACAATTACTTCAAAAGATTTGAAATTTTTTATTCCAAAATTTAGTTATACGAACTTGCAAGATAGGGAAATAGGTTATAGGACTCATCCAGGGAGTGCTGGTGAGAGGCCTCTCTGATGTATAAATAGATATCCAATGACTAAAAATTATACTCTTTATATGGCGCGCGCGCGCCCGTGTATTAATATGTATTAGGTATGAATGATTTAATTGAAATTTTAATAAACATGCTTCCATTTACAAGGAAAAAATCTAATGGAGTATGTGGGCGAGTGATTGAGTTGTTGCTGATAGAGACCTGGGCCTAGGATTCAGCTTGAGTTTGTGTGGACTTGAGTATTTTCATGGGGTACCTCCTTAATTTAAAACCCAACACGTGAATGTTAGATTTTATTAAAAAAAAAAAAAATGGCAATACTAAACAGTCACGCAATATAACTAAATAACTTTAACTAATCACTGAATGAGATGGTTCAGTGGAATTTTGGCCGAACTTTTCACTTTGAGGTTAGAGAATCGAATTTTAGAGTTTATATTAGAATTGAGATTCAGAGGTTGACTACTATATTAACCTAACTAGGTTTGTTTCTGAGAAGAATAATGAATGTGATCAGGGATCTCATAATCCCTCTGATAAAAGTCTATTGGGATGGTTGTTGGATGCTCTTCTTTGCTCCATCTCTTTTTTACATATAAAAAAACAAAAATAAAATAACGCTGACTAAGCAAATCCAGAGACCTCCCTCTTGTTGAAACTCCGGTGGGATGGGTAAGATCAAATTATCTATCCGTTAGTGATTTTGTTTTTTCCATGGAAGAACTCCAGCTTGGGAATATGAGCTATAGATGTAGAAGAGGTGGTAGATGATTACTTGGATATTTAAAACAGAAAATTGAAGCGCGTCAAAAAGTCAAAAAGTGATAGTAGATACAAAATGAGTCAGATTCGATATTGATTGAGATCAATGAGATTTGATCTGGAACGGGCTAACGATGAAGACTCATTACTTTGCTATGAGCTACTTCAATTTTAGATCGAATTCCGTCATTTAGGTCCTCAAAATTCTATTTTTTGTCATTTTATGAAAAGATTTCAAAAATTAATTATAAATTATAGGAGATTCCAAATTCAGGTTCATTAGACTATACACAACATGTGTTTTTGTATTAACTAGGAAAATTGCATATTTTTATTTTTGGTCTTTTTCGTAATTTTAAGAATTTTGTTTCCGTTTTGAAAATGATTAGGGTTCTGGTTATTTCTATTTATATTATGTCTTTATATTATGAGTAGAAGAACTGAATAATATTATATTTTAGAATTTTTTTCTACCTTCTATATGGATTTTGAGTGTTATTTTTAGTTCCATACATAAAAGAATCGTAGTGTTTTTTGTATTCTTTTTTCCGTTGTATCAATGACCTCTCTAAGGACTACTGGTTATAAAAAATGAGAAACTGAAAGATACCAGTGAGACCAATCAACCCAAGGTAAGGGCTGAGATTAGCTCTGGCCTCACCTGGGTTGCAATCCTAACTTTAAAAACGTTAATTTGCAACCAACCGACCAGATTATTATAGACAAGAACATTCTCAGTGTGCTAGCTAGGTTGGTGATAATTAAGTTTACTTTGAAAATTTTCATTAATGACAAAAGTTGTTTGGCTCAAGCTATCCACTCACTGTCTCATCTGCCAAACCACCATTACGACAGAATTTTTTTTTTTTTTGGCATAACATTACGAAATAATGTATAAGGTACCATATTTTTTTGGTGCCTACTAATACTATTAGAAAATTACACTCAAATTCCTTACCTTAAAATTTAAAGGAGTATAATATTTAAACTCTTCAAATTTAAAATATTATACTTAAATCCCTTATTAGTTACGGAACTAATGAAATCTATTAAACGATCAAATTATCCTAATTAAAAATATAAGAAATTTTGTACATTATAGTTTGACCTCTTGTTTGATTTTATTCCAATAGGTAGTATAATTCTATACTAATTATGATTTTTTTAAGAAAAGTAAATTTTTATTTTTGATTTTATTTCAATAAATGTTATAATAAAACATGAATTTTGATTGTAAAATTTAAAATATTTGATATTTTATCTTTCATTAAAGTATGTTGGTCTAACTGTAATATTTTAAACTTGAAGAGTTTAAAATTATATATCTACAAACTTTAGGGAGTCTAGGTGTGATTTATATACTAAATGATATTGACGGTAAGGTCTAAGTATTACGTACATATAAATTTTAGGAGACCTATGTGTAATATTTTAAATATCAAGAAATCTATGTAATTAAGCGATAAATCTTAGAAAATATGAATATAATACTCCCTTTATTTTAAGCAGTTTGGTGGCAAACACGTGATGTCACGTGAGTGCATTACAGTATAACCTCTACTGTCGGATATCTGTCCACTAGTACTTGGATGCCCGAGGTACTCACAGCCCTTTGTTAGTATATAAGTGCTTTGCATCCCAGATGAAAGGGAAGAAGAATTGTATTCTATGTTGTGTGCATCGAGCTTTTCACAGATTCGCAGTCGTGTACTAACTTATACTAATGTGAAGTTGGATATTGATGGGACTCTTCTGAAAAAGTCTATGATGAAGACACGTGTCTTCGGGGGTTTCTAGAACAATGTTGCTCGGGTTCAAGCACT